TATATATATATATACCAGGTGTATAAGATTAAATCCGCTGTTTTTTAGTCAGAAAAACACATTTTTTTCCTAAGAAACAAAAACAAATTTATTCAAAATACTTGCCCTCGCTAATTATAAATTTTTCCGATCTTTCGGGCAATTTGTGTATATCACGCCAAAAAAATCCTCATCTTTCAAGGCAAATCACTCATCAAGCATTTTCGGACGTCTTCGTAAAAATCGAAGTGCCCCTCAGCGAGCGCGTGGCCCACTGACGAAAATAGGTGATAGTCACAAGGTGCCAGATCTAGTGAGTAAGCGGGATGGGGTAGCACTTCCCAGTTAAGTGTCTCCAAGTAGTTTTGGACCATTGTTGACGTGTGCGATGGTGCGTTGTCGTAGAGGAAAATCAGCTTGTCATGTCTTTTCCGATAATGCGGTCTTTTTTCACGCAGAGCACGGTGCAATTTGATCAGTTGTTGGTGGTAGCGGTGAACATTAACAGTTTCACCAGGTTTTAACAGCTCGTAGTAGATGATACTCTCCTGATCCCACCAAACGCACAGCATCTTCCATCCGAAGCAATTTGAGGAAGATATTGATGGTTGGGCAGGATCAACCTAAAATTTCTTGCGTTTAGGATTCTGAAAATAGATCCACTTTTCATCGCCTGTCACAATCCGATGTAGGAATGACTTTCTTTTTTGTCTAGCAAACAGAATTTGGCATGTGTTTTGGCGTCGCTCCATCTGCCTATCGTTCAGTTCATGCGGCACCCATTTTCCGATCTTTTGAACCTTCCCCATGATATGTAGCCGCATGGAAATGGCTGCTTGAGAAACATCCAATTGCTCAGCAAGCATTTTTTGCGATTGGGTCGTCCAAAAGAGCCTGCAATTGACAGTCCTCAACCATCCTGGGCCGATTTTCACTTCTTGTCACTCAGGTCAAAATTGTCATTGGACCGGCGAAATCAATCTCTGCACGTTGTTTCCGATAAAGCATTATCGCCATAGGCACTCCTCCACAAGCATTTGATGCGATTCGGCAGTCAATTTCTTCAAATTGAAAAGCAAAGCTTCCCGCATATGCTTTTTTTTTTAGCAAAAAACTAGACATGATTACGAAAGAAAAAATGTATGTGTTGTATGAAATTGCTGATGATATGCATTGATTAATGTTGACAGATGTCAAACACAAAAAAAAGTGTGTTGTGTGCTCAGGGTAGCTTTGTTCACTAATGCCACCTATGAGCAAACAGCGGATTTAAGCTTATACCTTATGTGTGTATGTGTGTGTGTGTGTGAATAATCTTACAAGAATCGTCATTTTTAACATTTCGTTCAATAATATGCTTTGAGATATTGAATCATTTAGATGCTCTCATATAGCTAGGAATATCTTGAGTATTTCTATATTACGACTTCCTTGCGATTTCATGACCACTAAATCTAATATTTACAATTAAACAAATCATTATATCACGTGTTTTCCTATTAATACGACCTTACTCTATCACTGTATACAGATTTTATTACCAAATATTTATTTATTATATAATAAAACAAGATTTGAAGACTAACCTCAATAAAATTTGACAACATTTCAAAAATCTTTTTTCACAACTACAATATTACACGCATGATCTAATAATGAGTTTTCTACTAAATATGTTTCACTCTATGAGTAACGAGTTTATAAAATCAACCATATGCGCTTATTATATATATAGTTTAGCAGAAATTCTGCTATCTCATATTGGGAATCTATCCCATAATAGACGCCCTTACTCTATTTTTCACTTGTTTCAACAGTTGTCAGACCGTGTGTTTCTTCCCGAATATAAACTCACTTTACGTGCCTTTTACGACCATATATTGTCAAGGGAGGAAAGAATAGTTTTCGTCGATTTTTACAAATGTTTTAAAGCGATCTTATCATTTAAATTTATCCAAATTGTCTTTACTTACAAATGGCATGTAACATAAATTAATGTGTTATTCTTCACTTTTGACGTCACGATTCTAACATGACTACTCAGGAGCCTTAAAAACGCAGCTAAATTACTGAAATAACATCACAATTAAATTTTGATGTTCAATAGGTATCTATTAAAACATTAATAGCAATAAATTATAAATTATTATGACTGATTTATGGTAATAAATTTTTCAGTTAATTTATTTTTCTTTAGCTTGTACCATATAAATTATAATTCGTTTGTTATTTAATATAAGAATATAATGATTAAATTCAGTTTCTTTAATTGCAGTTAGGTATGTTTTTAATACCGATATGCAGTTTACCATTATTGCTGTTCTCTGGATTTTTCTTGAAATTAAATGAAATGCCGACATATCTGCAGCCAATAAGCTTTTTAAGTTTTTTCAGGTAGAGACAATTTAACATATATCAACTGTTAATTAAAAACTTTTCGCATTTATTTGTGATTATTTGGACATAATTTTTTTTATATAAATTATTTTTTAATTTATCAAAAACTCTGCTCTTGTATAGAGATGCTTTTATTTTATTTCCAATTTGCTACATTTTTTTAATAAATTTGAAAAGCATAATTTTATTGTAGATTTGCTTATGAAGGAATAATGCAGGCGATCTATCTTGACCGACCAAAATTGCCATGTTCTGAAGCCTATTGTCACTTGCGTTCTTCAAACAAGATTCTTTCATTAATGGGTATGCCAACAATGCCATTTTACTTAACTCTAATAATACTTGGTTCTTGGATACTGTGTTTACATGTAATCATTTATGCAACACTCCTATGGAAAATTCATTATGCAAAAAAGTAATGTATTTCATTAATTTTTATCTCAAACGAAAAAGTATTCTTAAAATATATTTTAAAGAAAAAAATTACCATTAAATAAATTGAGAAAAAAAATACCGACTGTGTTAAAACTATTTTCTGCTCATCATCTCTAACACCGATTGTTGAAATATCGTACAATAATATCGTATGTTGGAATTTCATAATGCAATTGACTCATTTTGAGAGAACTCTTAAAATTGTAAAGATATAAAAAATTTTTTAAATTAATTTTTTAACGCCCTAGAAACTAAAAATCCATCTTCAATGAAATGCTAGCATCAATAGAAGAGAAGTTCATTTTTAATTTTTAATTGTTTGTGTATTCTACAAATATGTGAATATTATTCTTAAATACACACTGATAATATCATAAATGATATTTATATGTGTATTTTTGTATAAAATTTTATTTTGTTTTTGTTATTTTTTGCTTTTATTTAAAAAAAATTGGTTAGTTGAAGAGTGCGTACTGAAAAGAAATATATTTGAACCGAAATATTTCGAAAATTTATACAATCATGTTTCATTTTTGATGACAAAAAAATGATAATTGTTTTTCTTGAAGTTTTGCTTCTTTTTTTGGACTGAAATTCGCTTGATCAAATATCTACGTATCATTTTATTGATAACTGCACGGAAGATTGAGAATTTTAAAACGTAACGCAATAAAAATCTGAAATAATTGAAAAAAATAATATTATAGAAAAATATACGTAATTTGTAATACATAATTGTATGATACATATTAAATATACAATGTATATTTAATATTCTGCTATCTAGAATTTGCAAAATATTGAATTTGCATGGTTGATTGAATATTTCATTCTACTACTAATATTTATCGTTTTTATTATTGTTTACTAATAATCATACTTATTTTTTTCTATTTTTATTTATTTTTCAACATATTTATTTATTTATTATGTATTTAATAATTATA